AAAGGATACCGGGCCGACAAGAACACCACGCGTGGCATTTGGTTCAACACTTGGGAAATTTTCCAAAACATCGGTCAACAGTGAAAGGGGGCGTAACATCAAGACGACGAGAACACCCACCCACTTGAAGCCCTGATACTTGGAGAATTTCCTAAGTCCCAATTCCAAAACACTTAGACGAATTTTGAAAAAAAAAACAGAGGAACCAAACAGAGAACAAGACGACAAGACAACAAGGAACTTAAACATGTTTCATTAACATAAATCATTACAGGGCAGGCACTTCGGCCGTTACAGTCAAACGATGAAACAAAAATGACAAGTTACAAACAGCTATGGACGATCATTCCTCCGTAGCGGCCTCGTCGGCAGCGTGACCCGCAACGTCCTCCTCAGCGACAAGCTCGGCACCACCGTCGGTCTCAGCATCCAGGCCGGCCTCTACGGCGGAAGTGGCGATGTCGTCCAGGTAATCATCCTCCTCATACTCCGGTTCGCCGAGGCCGGAACTCTCTATGGGAGCTTGCCTGTCGCACAGAGGAAGGTTAATCTGCTCCTCCGGATCCTTCATTAGCCGAGGAAGCCGCAGGTTCCACCTGGCCCAACCCCGAGTATAGTTCAGGGTCCTGAGAGCGCGACTCAGCCGCCGATAGATGAGCCTCTGCATCTGATGCTGGCCCATGTTGTAGTACACGGACATTCCCCTTTCAAAATACTCTTGGCCGGCAGGGGAGTTCTGCCCCCAATCTTCAAGCTTGGCCGCTAGGACCTCATAGCACTAGGGGAGGCGCTCGTCGGCCTTCCAGCCTTCGGCCAGGAACTTCGCCACTGCGTCATCAGCGGCCTTCACTGCTGCAGCCTCAGTTTTGGCCTTGGCCCTCTCGGTCTCATCTGCCCGCAGACGATCAACCTCGCGGGCACCCTTCTCCTCGGCCAGTTTGGCCAGGGCCTCTTCCTTGGCCGCATCGGCCTTATCAGCCCTTCTCCGCAAGGCTGCAAAATCTTCCCGCAGCCTCCCCAAGCAGCTCATGGCATCATCGGCCGAGGCTGCCTTCTCCTCAAACTCCTTCAAGCGGGCAATCTCCCGCTGCTGCCTCTTGTTGCTCTCCATGAGCATAAAGGCACCCTGCAACGGAAAAGGCTATCAGGCAAAAGTGCAAACACATCAAAGGAAAACAAAAAGACTAAGGAAGGAAAGGAATTACCTGGACGACAAGGTCCATACCACCGTCGTATATCTTGACATCCCCTAACTTGTCAAGATATACCCGGTCCTTGGCCAGGATGGCCTGAGAAAGCACGATGTGGCCGTCAACGCCATCATTGAAGCCCCCCCCGTCCTTGGGGTATTCAACTTCCAGCTTGTAAGTGGACGTAGCCACCTCCTTGCCGGACCGCTTCGGCCGGGAGTCCTCAGCAAAGGAAAGGGGTTGAGAACCACCTCCGGAAAGACCAGAGCCAAGGTCCACGAGGGCAGCAGCAGCACTGGACCCTCCTTCGTCCGCAATCGGGACGGCTAGCACGCCGGCCTCATCGGCAGTAGCAGAGGACGAAGCCTTCTTCGACTTCTTGGCAGGTTGCATACCGGCCTCGGTCAGCTTCCTCTGGGACTCCTCTGCCGGCCGTTTTTTCTTCGGTTGGGGAGGTGGCATCTTCGTCGCATCACCACCAGCAGCGGCCTTCGCCGCAACCTCCTTGGCGGCCAGCTCTGCCTTGGCCCTTACAGCGGCCTTGTTCATCACGGATCGTCGATCCATTACAAAGTCTGCACAACAAAGAAACATGTCAGCAAAATAAAAAGACAAAGCAAAATGAGGACGCCGTAGGGGGCATTACCATCAGCTTCGGCAGGAACGCCCAGATCGGGGCCATCGGCCTCCTCGAAGGTCGTGGTCATCTTCGGCCATAGTTGGAGATCGTCTTCCTTATCACCATACACGAAGTATCTAAAGAAGCCGATATCGGTCATCTTGTACTCCGTGATGTAGTCTTTCACACTCCTCGCCCCCCCCCCCCCCTCCAAGAAGGCCGCCACCTGAGCATCGAGGATTGAACTCTTGGGCGGGTCATGAAGAGTAAACCTTCCATCATGGCCGACGGAGGGGAACTCCATGCCACCCTCGCCCAGGGACACGAAGACGAACTTGCTCTTCCAACCGTGTATGGACGAAGGCAAGTCTGTGAATGTCCTCTTCTTCGGCAGCTGCTGCAAAGTGGCGTAGCAGGCGCAATTGTTGTGGCTTCCTCAGCCAATCTGGTAGAGATTCGTGAAGAGGGCCGTTGTCGGCTTGTAACCCAACTCCGCACAACGGAGAAGGAACCCCACCATCAGCGAGTAACTATTAGGGGTCAACAAGGCCGGCGGAAGCCCCACCATGTCCAAGTACTCCTGGATGAAGGGATGAAGGGGAAACCTCAGCCCCTTGGCGAAGCTCATCGGATACACCCCGAAATATCCCGGCGGCGGATTCAGCACGTGGTCCGTCGGCCTAGGCGCCCTGACCCTCCCGAACGGCCCCACATACATCTGTGCGACCAGATAATCAGCGGCACTGCTCTCCGGCTTGATGAGGAAAATGTTGGTAAGGTCTAGGTAAGAGAAACCTGGCCCCTTCTTCGGCCGCCTGTTCCTCTTCGGCCGTGGCAGCCCCTTCACGGCAGACACCGGCTTCGGGCACAGAATAGTGGTAGAAGCGGACGCCCCGTCCACTACGCGGGAGGCCCCTACGTCCTCGCCCTCAGATGACGAAGCGGACCCTTCGTCCTCGTCCTCCTCGTCCGCATTTTCCCCGGACTTGTACCGGCTCAGGTGTTCGATCTCTTCGGCGCACTCCTCAATCACATCGTAGTCAAGAGATTTGGCGGAAGGCTCGTCGTCGTATGGGTAATATTCCTCGTTTAAGGATTTCATCTTAACAAATCCTAAGGCACTAAGGGGAGCTAATTCAGATCTAAAGTGTTTTGTGACTAACACCGGATCAAAGCCTAGAAAGAGCAAAATATGAAAGAAGTAGAAGAACGGATTGAAGAATTAACCTTGAAGTTTTGAAGAAAGTGAAGAACACTCAGCAAAGGCTCTCTCTCTAAAAAAATTGGGTAGCACTTCGTTACTCAGAATGCAAATGAGGCCTGTCCTCGGCTCGGGGAGGGTATTTATAGCCCACCCTCCCAACGGTAACTACACGTGGCATCACCTTAGTGGCCACACCAACGGCCACCAATGGGATGCCACCATTCTGTCCACAGGCCAAACCCCCCACAGATCAGCGGTCCACCAACGAAGCAGGCCCTACGGATCGAGGAGGGAAAAATAGCACCCACGACGGCCAACACAGCCAACGGCCATCCACGTGGCAACCGTATCGGCCATCTAAGCGGCCACGTATATTATGCAAAGGAAAGGACCGTAACGGCCATGAGGCCCTCGCACTAAACCCTTGATGATAACCCTTTGAAAGCGACCTGCGTCCAAGGGTTCTCCCACAGGGTTACCTTGGTCAGGAAATCGCCAAAGGGTTGGATCCAAGGGCAGTATGAGGATCCCGCTTCAGCCTAAGTTTCAATCTACTCCTTCACCCCTCACTCACTCTTCGGTCTGAAGCAGTGGGGGACTGGGGGACTACACCGGCCTCAAGAATAACAGGCAAAATCAAAGAAATCCACAAAAATACTAAGTCCACAACTACAACAGTAGACATGCACCACAACGTCCATAACATTGTGGTACACCTTCGGCCGCAGCATGGTTTGAGATCACAGGACACTTATCGGCTTTGAAACCACATCACTCTCAAGCCAAGAATCAAAAGACAGGTTGACATACCCGAAACATTGTCGTCCATGTACCACAACGGCTCCAAGGTCCTCACAACTTCATCCTCGGCCAGACAGTGTTATCATCCCAAAACCTTGGGCAACATGATGCCTTGTTGTCCAAAAACACATGGTATCATAACAACGGCCAAAAGGAAGGCACTGTACCCTCATCGACCACCCAAAACAAAGACGCAACCCCTACGGCCTCATCAGCCCAAAAGGGAAACTCAACCAATCAACAAGGATAGACACTACCTTCACCGGCCACTCGTTTCAGAACACTCATCATCCACAAACAAAGCGCACCAAAGGAACAATAGTCTTCCCCGTCCGCATCAAGGGACAGGCAACGGCCAAACTCAGAACAGGGCCACCGAACGCCGCGACAGAGAACGACCAACGTGGTCCCGCATCGGCCAAGAGCATCAAGCACAGAAATCTACTCTTCTTCACTTCGTCTACACCTCAGCTTAGAGAGTGGGGGACTCCTGATGGAGTATATGGGTATAGGCCCCAGGACCCACATACTCAGAAGAACAGAAAGCACAAAGACACTACGCGGTGCCCTCGTCGGCCAAAGGACCCTCGTCGGCCAAAGAGGGACCGACTCAGAATATGCCCCTGGAGCCAGGGAACCAAGGTGTCCTCATCGGCCGTGCCCTCGTCGGCCAGACCCTCGTCGGCCAGACCCTCGTCGGCCACGGAGGACTCGCAGAACTAGATTTTACACTTATTCATGTATGTAGCCCATCAGTTACTTTGTATTCGGCCCAATAGCGGTCCAGTTGTAAATGGGCCTCCCAAGCCCAAGGCTTGGGAGCCCAGCCCGTATTTTTCCTATAAATACTTCCTCTGGAGGTAGTTATGAGGGTTATAAATTCATTCTATTGAAGCATTACTTGCACTTCTCTCTCTAGCTCTCACCTCTCTCTAGATATATACTCTATCATGGACAATCTAAAAGTAAGGGACTAAATGTGGAAGTGATACAATAGTCATGACATCAAAAGTAGAATTTTTTCTTATAATTATAGGTATAATTATATTTAGTGTATTAGGTATAATAATAGTTATACCTATTATAATTTGAATTTTAATTATATTTTTTTATAACTATGATTGTAATTATATTTATAATTATAATTTTTGAAATATTTAAATCAGAAAAATTCAGATCAAAATTAGAATTTAAATAATTTTCAATCACATACGAGGAAGAAATAGATTTAGCTAGAAGTTTGATCTGGAACGGTCAATGGTGTGTAGTTGAATAGCTACTAGAAGGGAGATTAGAAAAGAGGAACCATGAGCAGCAATCTGAGGGCAATTTGTAAACCTCCTTATCCATTCTTCTCTTCAATCACCATTAGTTGCAGATACTTTCAGGTCAAATCGGCGGGTCAATTTCCGGGTCGGATCCCTAGCACCAAGCCTGCGGCTCTCTTGTCCGGGAGAGTTCAACCGTTGAATGGAGCCAGTCAACGTCATTTGAGGAGAGTGGTTACTAATTCGTACAATTGGGACAACTCTAAGTCTCCTTATGAAACCCTCGGTACTTTAATTTCATCCAACTTATTTAAGTGTAGATTTCAGTTTTCGTAATTAAATATATCTTGAAAATGTATCATTTACATCGGAGTATGAATATAGAATATAATTTCGACTCTGAGAGAGACAGAGAGAGAAATTACCAATCAACTTAGGAGAAATTACAAATCAAGTTGGGAGAAATAACCAATGCTTGAAGTGCAGGTGGTTCTGCATTTTAAGAAATATTTAACGTAATGTAAATATGCAGTCATGCCTGATCTTTTCTACTTACTTTGCTTCAGAGTAAATATAGGTTCTTCCAGATTTAAATCTGGGTTTAACTTGTTTATACTATTTTAGAATGAGAACCCCTGGTTTTTGTATAATCTACTTGCATTTGAGAGAACCTCCAATAAGTATGTTATTAATTGGACTATAATTTTCTGATCTGTTTAAGTAAGTCTAGTCTGAACTAGCCAGGTTTGGTAGATTTAGGTTTTATGTATATTTTACAACTATCAAGTCTGTGTCTGAAACTAGTTCAATTAAAAACATCCTACTTCAGTTTTCGAGTAGTTCACTTAATGTGAGGGTTTTCAGAAGTTGAGCTATTTACAATTAATTCTGATATGATTACCTAGCATAAAACTCCTTCCAAACAATCTTGTACTACATTCACCTATTTAACCGCATAATTATCCAAACAACAATTATTTATATGCACCTCAGTTCAAAGGTTTAATTATGTTATCCTATCCAATCAAAGCATTCATGGTCGTTTGCTTTAATTAATGTCCAGGCAGTTTTACACCATATGCCCAACCCAATTTTATAAATGCAGAGTTGGAAAGGGATGCAGATGAAGAGGAAATAAAGGTGGCATATAGGCGTTTGGTCAAGTTCTACCATCCAGATGGTTTGTGCATAAGCTTTGCCATCTTTTTGTAGCGCTCTTTTAGAAGTACCCGCCTAATTCCGCCTTTGTGTTAGACCACCGTTAGCTGTCTTTTTATTTCTTATTTCAGCCTGCAAGACCTGCCTAGGCCCTGTCAAACCCCGCATAAGCCCAATTAAGCTCTACTTCATAACACTAGAACTTTTTAGTGCATAAATATATCTGCAAGTCATCAATTTTTTGAACAGTTTTAATTATCACTTAGCTGTTTTATTATTTTGTTCGAAGTTTATGATGGCAGTGGGACTCTTGAAGATGGGGAAACTGCTGAGACTAGGTTCATAAAGATTCAGGCGGCATATGAGTTGCTGCTAGATAATGACAAACGGAGAGTATATGACACTGAAAATCGGGTGGACCCTTTAAAGGTGAGTTTATAACAACCTGCTTAAACTGATTCTTTAATAATTTGGAAGTTTCTTAATATTTTTGTTTATAATTTAGGCATCACAAGCATGGGTGGAATGGCTTATGCAAAAGCGGAAAGCATTTGACCAAAGGGGCGATATGGCCATCGCAGCGTGGGGTGAACAGCAGCAGCGTGAATTAAATCTTAAAGCACGTCGCCTTGCACGGTCAAAGGTGCATAATTAAAAAATTGATTAATTACCTTTGGCCAGCATTATGACTACCATTTCGCACAAAAGTACTGTATATTCATCAAATTAGAAATTTTAGGTGGACCCTGAAGAGGAGAGGAAAATATTGGAAAAAGAAAAGCATATGTCGTTGGAGAATGCTAACAACACATTGAGGCGGCATACCCTTGTGTTACGGAAGAGGGACATAGTGCGAAGAAAATCAGAAGATGAGAAAAGGATGATCATCAACCGGCTACTTGCAGCAGAGGGGCTTGAGCTTGAAGAAGAAGATGATAAAATATTATAGAACATATATATACACCTTGACTAATGAGGCGCGTGTATACTTTCTTGGTATATTATTATTGTACAAAAATATGAAAGCTGTATATACGGCTGTCCTTTGTTTCTTCCTATCATGAAATCTTTTACCCCATGTTGTAAATAGGACGAGTGATCGACCCGGCCAAGATGTCTGCTCGGTCAACGCTGGGTCAATCTTGTTAACATTGATTAAAAAGTAAAAAACGAAGTATTTACTGAACTGGTCTGGTCTGGTAAACGTCTGGTCTCTGTATATTTTATAACTACGAAAGTCTGGTCTGATCTGGTCTGAACTGAAAACAGTCCAAAAGAAAACATCCTTATTTGGTCTTTTATAATTTTACCAAGTTTTCTTTTTTATTTTTTCATTAACTTTGTCCCATTCCTTTTTAGTAAAGGATTTGTGATTCACCGCTAACAAGATTTGAACACAAGAACAAAGAGGGAATCAACTAGGAAAATCAAAAAATATCATCTGCAACATTCCACCAAAATGCTCACTTGTTAAGTTGTTATATTTTCCTTCAAGGAAAGAAGGTCAAATACACACACATGTACTATATTAAAAACATCATTGAAACCCTCATACTATAAAAAACATCACATCAATACACTTACTATTAAAAACTGATCATTTGAGTTTAAGTGACTAGATCACAACTTCCAATGACAAGTTACTAGTTAATCCTATATACCTAATGGGAGAATCCTCTCCCTTAAGTCTTTCCCGCTTCTCTCACCTTTCAATTACTTGTAGGTATCTTCCACCTTCTTTCTTGGAAGTTGCCAAGAGACACCTTAACATGGAGGCACCTTCTTGGAAAGAGCTCTCCAACAACTAGGAAGCTTTGGATGCAACTTCCTCATGTCTCCAAACCAGCCCTATAAATAGAGTGCTCCATTGTTGTTCATAGTATCAGTTTAGAAAGTGAGAAAAGTGTGTGAAGAGTGAAATACACTTAGTGTAGAAGTGTATTGGTGAGGATTGGTTTTTTGTAATAGTTGAGTGTGAGAGTTTGCTCCTCCTATTATAATTCTGTTCTTGATATTGAATAGAAGAATTTTCCAATCCCAACAAGTGGTATCAGAGGGAGGTGGAGTTTCCATACACTGTTTTCTCATTTTCAGATAAATTTCTACAGGTTAGAAAATCGCGATTTTTCAAGTTGCTCGGAATCAGGATCTGATCATACCGTTAGATTCGTCTCGGCGAGACGAGAAATCTGGTATTTTTGGGGATTTGTTTGGCCACCGGAAGAGGCCGTACGCGCTGCCGGAAAACTGCCTGCATCATCACTGCGTCATCACGCAGTCCAGAGGAAGAAGACGATCCACGTCAGCAGCCACGTCATCGCCACGTTGGACCACGTCAGCGACACGTGGCGCCACGTCATCCGCCCGAGCCGTCCGATGTGAGCCACGTCAGACGCCACGTGGCTACACGTCATCGCCACGTCAGCGAGGGAGCAGAGCCACGTCATTCGCCTGCTGGGCTGCAGGATGGGCTGCTGCCTGAACCGGACCGAACCGGTTCGTGCTTTTGGAGGCCGGTTCACCCGTTTCCAGTTCAGTTTTGGACGAGGTCAGACCGGTTCTTACCATTTTCGGCCATTCCGGATCCAACGGTGAGCTCCGTTTGTCCAAATTCGGCTTCGAAAATAAGGTACAAGATACATAGAGCGTTTTATTATGGATAAATCATCGTCGGACACCATGATTGCGCTCACATCCACAAACTACAATATGTGGAAGCCTCGGATGGAGGATTTGCTAAATTTGAGGGATTTAGCGGATCCTCTTGATAGTAATGGTGTGAAACCGGATAAAAAGACGGATGAAGAATGGACAAAAATGAATCGAAAAACTGTCGCACAAATTCGACAATGGATAGATCATAGTGTGTTCCACCATGTTGCTCAAGAACAAAGTGCTTACACACTATGGGAGAAGCTTGGTAGCATGTATCAAGCAAAAACCGCCCGAAATAAGACGTTACTAATGAGGAGATTAGTAAACCACAAATTACGTGGGGGTATTTCGGTGTCAGAACACACCAGTCAATTCCAGGATCTTGTGAATCAGTTGAGCACCACCGGATGGGTTCTCAAAGATGAAGAGCAGGCGATACTACTCTTGAGCTCTCTACCTGACAGCTGGGAGACTCTTGTTGTCACTCTCAGTAATTCTGCTCCAAATGGGAAGGTGACTATGCAGATGGTCACAGATGCCCTGATGAATGAAGAAGCCCGAAGGAAGGAAGCCGGAACGGAACAATCATATGTCCTCATATCAGAAACTAACAGACGAGGGGGAGGCAGAAATGGAGGAAGAAGTCGAGGTCGAGGTAGAGGTCAAGGTCAAAGTAGAGGAAATTCTCAAGTTCGCGGAAGATCACAAGAGAGAGGTATGTCCTTTGAAAACAATACTTGGTTCGAAGGATATTGCAATTACTGTAGTAATTATGGACATAGGAAAAGAGATTGTAGAAAGTTTCTACGAGAGAAGCCACAGACGAGTCAAAATACTAGCCAAGAAGATGGTGAGACCATGGTTAGTTTGTCATCAGACGTGTGTCTTGTTACACATGGTGAACAAGAATGTTTACACGTAGGCACTCATGATGTTGAGTGGGTGATTGATACAGCCGCATCATTTCACGCCACTCCACACCAGAACTTATTCACAACTTATAAGTCCGGAGACTTTGGAGCTGTGAAGATGGGAAACACCAGTTTCTCGAAGATTGTTGGCATTGGTGATGTGCACATAATAACCAATGTCGGGTGCGCACTTGTGTTGAAAGATGTTCGACACGTTCCGGATCTTAGATTGAATCTTATCTCCGGTACAGCTCTGGATCAACAAGGATATCTTAACCGATTCAAAGAAGGTACGTGGAAGCTATCTAAAGGTTCCTTGGTTGTTGCAAGAGGCCATATTTGTGGCACTCTTTATAAAACTCATGCAAAGTTGTGTCATCCGAGTCTCAATGTTGTTGAAGAAGAGATATCACCAAACTTGTGGCACCGGAGGTTAGGTCACTTGAGTGTGAAGGGATTGACAACTCTTGCAAAGAAGGAAGTCATTTCCATGGGCAAAGGTGTTGCCCTATATTCATGCGAGCACTGTCTATTTGGGAAACAACACAAGGTTTCCTTCAGTTCTACCAAGAAGAACCATACAGAGTTACTCAGTCTTGTCCACTCTGATGTATGTGGACCCATTGAAGAGGAGTCACTTGGAGGAAGCAGATACTTCGTGACATTCATTGATGATGCATCACGAAAGGTATGGGCCTACTGTATAAATCATAAGGATCAAGTGTTTGATCGATTCAAATCATTTCAAGCCATGGTAGAAAGAGAAACAGGGAAGAAGCTGAAGTGTCTGCGTTCAGACAATGGAGGAGAGTACACTTCCCGAGAATTCTCAGCATATTGTGCCGCATATGGAATCAGACATGAGAAGATGGTTCCACGAACTCCGCAACACAATGGTGTAACCGAAAGAATGAATCGGACCATTATGGAGAAAGTTCGTTGCATGTTGAGTCTGGCTAAGCTACCTAAGCCATTTTGGGGTGAAGCTGTGCTGACAGCTTGTTATCTTATAAACAGGTCACCTTCTGTTCCTTTAAACTTTGAAGTGCCAGAGAAGAAATGGTCAGGAAGAGATGTTTCTTACTCTCACTTGAAAGTGTTCGGGTGCAAGGCATTTGCACATGTGTCCAAGAAGTTGAGACAGAAGCTTGATCTCAAGTCAAACCCATGTATCTTCATCGGCTATGGAGATGAAGAATTCAGATACCGGTTGTGGGATCCCGAAGTGAAGAAAGTTATTCGAAGCAGAGATGTTGTATTTCATGAAAACGAGTTTCATGGGTGTGCTCCAATAATCCGCCAACAACATACTCCAGAAGACGAAGTGCCTGTATCATCAAACATTCCTCTCAGGGACGAGGAGATGCATGATTCTACTGAACACGAGAGTGATGGTTCAGCAGGTGATGATGATACTCACAGTGATGATATTCCTCAGCAGGGGGAGCCTTCATCTGAAGACGAATCTGAAGGTATTCATGTTCGACGTTCTATGCGAGGCATAGTTCCACAAAGAAAATACTCCACATCCGAATGGATACTTGTTGCCAGCGAGGGGGAGCCAGCGAGCACCGCAGGAACGAGAGAAATAAAGAAAAAGGTGGAGGGGGAGATTTGTAGGTATCTTCCACCTTCTTTCTTGGAAGTTGCCAAGAGACACCTTAACATGGAGGCACCTTCTTGGAAAGAGCTCTCCAACAACTAGGAAGCTTTGGATGCAACTTCCTCATGTCTCCAAACCAGCCCTATAAATAGAGTGCTCCATTGTTGTTCATAGTATCAGTTTAGAAAGTGAGAAAAGTGTGTGAAGAGTGAAATACACTTAGTGTAGAAGTGTATTGGTGAGGATTGGTTTTTTGTAATAGTTGAGTGTGAGAGTTTGCTCCTCCTATTGTAATTCTGTTCTTGATATTGAATAGAAGAATTTTCCAATCCCAACATTACTTCCGTCCCCATTTATTACCTTTGCACGGTTACGTACGTTTCAAAGCAAATTCAGCGTTTCTGGAAAATTCATTTAGCGTAGCATCGATCTTCAGCCGCACAGCATCATGTTCCAAGGAGATAATTATCACTAATATTACTAAAACAATATATCTTTCCCAATATATGACTTCACTAGTTTTATTCCTAATCTAACATCCTAATGTCATGCTCCATGAGTGGTAACGGCACTATCAATAAGGAATTAGTTACGTATGGTAACCACCCCATGTATGTGTTTGGTCATATATTACATACAAAAACATGTATAGTCATATTTTAGGAAAAGTCTTGAGTTTTAGTAATATTGAGGTATTTATCCCTGTTCCAAGACCCTCTGCCCTGAATGAGATGAACTCTACGGAGTCAACCATTCTTCTCCGTATGCAACTTTATGTTCTTTCTTTGAACCTCGCAAGCATCTCGCCCCACTGCACCACATCCCACAAATTTCAGCGTAATCTTCCTCCATCTCAGATCAAAGGATGCCTTCATCAGGTAGATTGAATCAGTCAATTCGATTTTTTATCCGATTAAAGTCGCTTCTCCATCCATGTTGCCTTATTTTGTTTTCCTTTCTTTTTGTTTTGTCTTTTGTTTGCTAATGTTGTTTTCATCCACTCAAGTGATTAAAACAGGCA